CTGAAAACAATAGTATCGGTCATTTTAAAGCTTGACTTTTGTCCATAGTTTTATCTATGTTTATAGATAACAGTGAGTGCATTTATATGCACTTAATAATCCGATATCTGCAGAAAATCAGATTTCGTCAGTAATCCGATCAACACGTTTACATGCACTTGAGTGATCAGATAATGGGAAACTCTGGGTCTACATGAGTCAGGCAGTAATCGGATTTCTGCTTTGCAACCAGCCAAATAACTCACAGAAGAAGACATGACATCCACCATCTGATCTCGTGCAGACTGAGAAATCCGAAAGAAATCAGAGTAAGAGTTCACATGCACTGAGAAATCTGATTACTGAGATAAAATCCAGCTCTTTTTATCTTAATTGGATTTCTAGATCGAAGTATGGTGTTTATGTGATCATTTGAATAATCGGATAACTGCAGAAATCCAATTATGATCAGATTATTGAGTGCATGTAAACACACTCATTGTGTCAAACAGTCAGAAACCACATAAGCGAATCTCTTTCTCAGTTTGAGGCATGAGTGTGCTGCATCATGCTAATTTGTGGTCATTAGCTTTCATTACTTGTTAGCTGCATTAGCCTCGAAGCTCCAGTGCAGAACTAAAGAGGCAAAACATGTTTTGGCAGATCGACTACATTCAGGGTAAAATGAACAAATTGCATTTTGTATTGAGAGTAAAAGCTTTCATGGAGTGAAATTAAAGAGACACTCTGGCCAAATGAAAGAGAGAGCCTGGCAAATGGAAAATCTGTTGTAAGCATGCTTACTCACATCCTCTAGAAGTCTCTAGAGTGAGAATTTCTGACTTTAAACCCACCTTCTGATGATTTTTTGAGAAACTATAACTGCTTTGAGGTGGATTTTTGTGGTTGAAGAGTTTTAATTTGTTTTGGATTCATTTATTTTGTTTATTTTTTTGATAACTAGCGAACAGAAGAAAGCCAGATAGCTAATGTTACTGCTAGGAGGCTAAATATGTTATCCCAGCTGTCTTCAAATCATCATTAAAATGGAGAGAATGCATTTCTCAAATGACACAAATGCATTGTGAGATGAGGAGAACCAAAAGCTAACAGCAAGTTAGCCAGGTTGCTACCTGGCTATCTAGATACCCTCTCAGTTTGGCTTCTTCTCTATGAAGGGGTATAAATTTATCTCTCGATTGGTTGACACCACAGGTTGTATGATGTATTTTGCTTAATGCATGCTGGGTATTGTAGTTAAAGAACACAGATGAATCAGCTGGTGAGGCTGAGGGGTGTAATGCTGACCTGTAATGCTGAAGATTACATAACATGACAAATAACATATTAAACGCAGTGCACCTGTTGAGTGTGCACGACTGCACCAAGCTTCTGCTGCGCTTGTATCGTTTGGAAGGACATCATAGTCATACCTTCCCACAGCAGGTGAAGTGCTGATTGCTCCCTGATCCACGTGTAAGTGATGCTCTGCCCATCAGTCACAGCTGTCCTCAAACGCTCCACTGTTTTTGCTCCTCATCCCTGCTCTGATCATTTATTCCCCACCTTTTTTCCCATTGATTTGCTGATGCTACGAAATGTAAAATACCTTAGGTTGCAGTGGTGGCTAAGCGAGAGGGAAAAGTGAGGAGGCTGTGTGCGTGTGTGTGACCAGTATAGCTGTATAACTGACATAAATCTGGCCACTAGAAGAGGACTGCCTGACCTCTGGGCTTCTCATGCTGATTTTGTCCTAATAACACTTAGCCTACACAAACTCACATGTCATGAGGTAATAAACTGGGCAATTATATAATCATAATTATAATTCGGAGACCTGTAAAATAGTTATTTCACAAGAAAACAGAAGATATCTGTTCACAGTGTACACCACTGTACATACTAGAAATGAAGTGATTTTGCTGCAGAATATTAAAGTAAGTAATGAGTAGCAAAATTATCAGAGATATCAGTCAAATTTGATCCTAAACCAAAATTAAACTCATTGTAAAATGGTCATTTTAAAAATAGTATGCCAAAAATGAAAGCATTTCAGTCTAGGATGTCACATTTTGTACATACTAAAATGAATGTGATTTTACTATAGTAATAATTGAAATCTTAGCATATCTTACCTAAATTATACCTGTATTATCTATGAAAACCTTTCGACTACATTGAGGTGTTGCTTCTGAATTTCTAGGCAATAATCCTTCCTCATTTCTCAATTTTTCAATTTTTCAATTTCAATTTTCTGAAATGCATCAGTCCCTTTTCCAGCAGAACAATTACTACAACATGATACTGCCACCCCCATGCTTCACAGTTGGGAGGGTGTTCTTTGGATTACAAGTCATTTTCCTCTATACATAGCACTGATTATTTTGTCCAAACAGTTCAGTTTTTTGTTTCATCTGACCAGAGAACACCCCAGCAAAAGACAAGGTCTTTGACCTGGTCATCTGCAACCTTCAGTCTACCTTTTTATGCTAGTCTTGTGGTAGGGTAGGGGCTTCTTCTTGCACAGCAGCCTTCCAGGCCATGATGATATAGGACACTCTTAAATGGATGTAGATGATCAGGTACCTGGTGCCTCCAATTGCTTCACCAGTTCTTTTGTTGTTGTCTTGGGGTCCAGTTGAACCTTTTGGACCAAAGTTAGCTCAGCCCTGGGAGTTAATTTGTGCCTTCTTCCTGACTGCAGTGTCTGTGTGGTCCCAAAATTTTTTATATTTGATTATACAGTTGTTTGTACAAATGCTTGTGGTACATTCGGTTATTTGCAAATTGCTCCTAAGGAGGAACTGGACTTGTGGAGGTCCACAGTGTTTTTTCTGAGGTCTTGGCTGAGTTGCTCGGATTTTCCTGTGGTATCAAGGGCAAAAAGGCACTGGCTTTAAAAGTCGGCCTGAAGGTAGCTACAGGTGTGCACCCAACCTACTGCTAATCAAGACAGCCAATCAGAAGCATCAAAAAGTCATTACATCAATTTCTGGAATCTTCCATACTATTTAAAATAAACAAAGACAGTAAGACTGGTATTTTGACCAGTTGGTAGTCTGATATAGCAAATTAAAGCTGAAATAATTCTGATTGATTTAAAATGACCACTGATCTGAGCAAAAAAGATGCCCTATCTGGCTTGCCAATAGAAATGTGTGGTAACATAAGTTGTGCAAAGTACTCACACTGGACCAGGGGTCAAAAAGACTGAATATGGACATATATGGACACCAGCCCTTCAGGACCCGAGTTTGGCCTGGCTGCGAAGCTAAACCATCACTGCCTATCTGACCTATCTACATCTAAATTTACATTTACACCACTTAGCAGACACTTTCATCCAGAACTGCTTACAGAAGTGCTTTGTTGTCTAGTTGGAAAACTTATCCTTAAGCCATTGCTAATTTCCTACAATGGATATAGTGTTTTGGACTTGTAGTAGCATGGTACCGTGCTTACAGAAACCATTTGAAGTTTCGGGCAGACGTCATGGGATCTGTTGCTACAACACCTGCTATACTGAGTGCATCTCTATAACAACCTTCTTAATGGCCTTCCATAGCTGCAGGGTGAGCGGGTGAGCACGCAGGAAACAGCTATAATTTATGTGCTCTAACCAACGTAATGATCCGTGTTATGAAGAAGGTAAAGTTTCACAAGGTGCTGGACTTGGATTGTTTCCTATTTCTCAATTTGGCTCAGGGAAGACCTTTTTTCCCTTTTTCTTTTCTGCAAGCGCTCCTCATGCCGAAGGTTTGTTGTGATTGACTGGGGGATCGAGTGACGCTAGCTCACTTTCTGCTGATGTTGTTGTTCTTATTGTCCTGTGACGAACAGCATTTAAAGAGCCAACAACTCTAAGCCAGACTAAATAAAAAAAAAAAACCCTCAGTAGCTATAAAAACCACTTCAGCATCGCTGATTTGTCGGAATTCAAATCACGTAAAAAAAGGACTCGTAAAAAGGATTTGAAATGGTTAAGGTTAGGATATGTAGCCATAGCTTCTAAAAACTTCGTATAAAATTGCTCATTGTAATTCTTATAGTTTATACAGTGTTTCACCCTTATAACTGTTGTTTGTGACACTATTTAATGTAATTACATGGGTGTAATCATGAATTACATAGTTTATTACATAATGAATTACGTTGACATGCAATTTACATTCTGCATTAACAAGTTTGAGTCCGCACTTCAGTTTTTTTCCACTTTTTTCATCTATATCTGTATCTGTGTTTTTGATTTAACTGATCTGTGGCCACTTGCTTAAAACAGCTTAAATATTTACCTCAAATCATATGATGAAACGGCAAATTTACAGCTGTAAATGCAAACTTAAGTTCTGTGACTGTCAAAAACTTTAAACTGATGCTGAAATGTAACCATGTTACAGAAACATCCTAACTCTGAAATATTTTCTCTTTAGTCACCATGACAACTTCAGTTATAACTGACTTTAGGGCAGTAGTTATTACACAATAACAGTTCTGTATCTTATCCTAACACCAGATAAGAAAACAGTATTGCAGAATAGCTACTACTGTCCTACGTTTAGGACAACCCCAATGTCTATTTCTGTCATTTTTAGGCAACTGTGACAGGCAGCATAGTTTATTATATCTATATGTGACAGAATGACTTTACATTTATTTATATTACATTTATTTGCTACATAAGTAATATGATTCAACAAAGCCAATATCAATAGTGAGCTCCAGCTATCTCAACTGCAGCCTCAATGAGCTTACATGCTCGCTTGAATCACAGGGAATCCAACAATAAAGGCAGCATGGAGCTTCTTTTACACAGGGATAGGAAGCATAGCAGCTCACAGATTCTGCATGCTTATCCACTTTACTGTGACCAGCATGGAAATGCATGCTTACCAACTTTTCTTAAGAAATATTTTAAAGCAGACAAACACTATAAATGTGCTGCTGGCGAGATGTTTAGTTTCATTGGATTAATAAGAGCCTCAGAAGCCCAGAGCTCAGTTGTATTTGTTTTCTTCCCACAGCATATAGTGTGCACCATGGGTCTGAAGTGGTACCCCCATCCTGAGATCCTCCACTGCATCCGAGGCTGTGAGGTAAGCTCCTCCGGACACATCCACCCAAATGCCTCTCCTTCCTTTTTTCTCCTCTCCCTCACCCGCCGCTGCTCTTGCCTTGACCTCCGTTTGCAGAGGCCCAAGAAGACTAATGAAGATTATGAAGATGTAACGGAGCTCTACACTAAAGTCAGTACTCGTTTGAATGGCTGTGTCGTTGCAATGATGTACAGTGTTTGTGCATCTTTTTTTCAGTTTACTTGTCACTGTTTTGGTTTTGTTTACTTTAATGTAGTATTTTTGTTTCTGTACAGACATAGTGACCAATACATTTTTATGCATATACAGTACTGTGCAGTTTGTTTATTTGTTTCATTTCCAGTCGAAACAGCCATTACGTTTAAGTAATTAATTTGTCAGGAGATGTTTCTGAGGAAATTAGATAGAAGATAATGCACTTGCATACGAAGAAATGAAAAATTAGCAGTTTCCAAAATGAGGTAAAAAAATTATGAGCTACAGAGAAAATGGGACTCCTAACAACCACCTGGAAGACTTGTTAGACACCAACACTGCCCCCATCAGATAAACAGCACTTAAAGCTTTCCTCTTTGAGAGAGAGGAGAAAATCAAGCTGCTTCAGATCTGAAAACATCCACAGGTGTTTCTGTCCATCCTTCCACTGTGAGAAGACGACTCAGCGCTGTGGGTCTGAAAGGATGTGTAGCTGTCAAGAAGAACCTCACTGAGAAAAGGAGACGGACACACCAAACAAAGAAGCTGATCAATGGACTGACCACCCCGGAGTCCAGACCTCAACACCACTGAATGTGTTTGATTACTTCAGAAAATGATCAACCAACTTTTAAGACTGAACTTTGGAGGTGTGGAAAAATATTCCTGTAGATTTATTTGAGAAACTGAAAGTGGGTCTCCTGAAAAGAATAAAGGGAAAGAGTGGACACACTAAATACTGCAAATATTATATTTAGTTGTTGAGGCTTGTGTGTGATTTTGTGTTAAATATATATGTCTTAATAGCTGTTTTGACTGGAAATTAGTGGAATTAATTATCCTTGTATGCAATACTGTATGCATATGCATCTTTCTAAAAGCTTTCGAAAGCTATAAATGTATTGCTCTGATTTTTTCCCTTACTGCCCCCTAAATGTCCTTCCCAATGTCTCTTCCACTTGGCAGGAACACTTTATTGGTTTAAAGATCTGCTGTGCCTAATTTTGATGTCACACAAGTTGGCACTAGGAAGAATTGTGTATTTTTGTTGACAGTCTCTACAAACACAGAGGAGCTTTGGGAAGCCATGCGCACGACTTGGCTAAGTTTGGGCTGAAAGGAGAAAGAGAGCCAGCCATGAGTTGAGATTGGGCAGGGATTGTCTGTTCCAGATGATGTCATTGTGTGTAAAAATGGATTAGCTGTGCAGTAGTGAAGTAACGTCAGTTTAAAACGATGGTTCGGCCAAAAAATCTAATTTGCATGATCCCCCACCCCCAACTCTGAGTGTAGTCGATCAGAAGTTTGTTTTTCTGGTTTAGTACTGAAGCTACGAGACTAATGTAGTGAACAAGTAGGCAAATGGGTAAACAAAACTCTTTAACTCTTCAAGATGATTGCAAATACTGTATATGGCTATGAGATGTACTTTTGTCCATATTACGCCCTTAACTATAGGTTTTCTGGTCTTGCGAGGGAATGGAATCTCATAACTTGTTAAACTTTTGGTGCTGGAAATCTAACTTAGGTATGCCCCCCAAAACACATCCCCAAATTTATCTACTTCATCCTTTTTTCATTTCAGTCATTTTGACCAACTTTTTGACATTCTGACCATTGGTTGGCAAATCCAGGAGACTAAGACCCAACCCCATTTTTTTATTTTTACCACTACACCTTGTTTTCGAGTGTCACCTAGTAGTGGTTGAAATCATCTCCAATGAAATGGGACCCTCAAATAAAAATAACATTACTTCATTAAGAGGCTACTATCGGCGCTCTGTAGGCGACCCTGCCAGTCTGCAGTGACAGCAGAGGAGGGTAAAGTTCAGCTCATCGCTGCTGGGCTTTAGTTACATTTGAGGCATCATATGACTTCAAAGAGGGGGGATGTGATAATTATCTGTTATTGCTCACCCCCTAATTCTTTGGTCAGCTGTTCGCCAGCTTTCCTGTTCCACCTTAAATGAAGCAGCAGTTACATTATGTCACTTCAGACGTCAGAACTGCTGAACTTTTTAAGGTGGAATGGGAAATTTAGCTAGCCAGCTACCGAGATATTCGCATACTATTAGCAGTTTTTGTGCTTGTTAAGAAGAAAAGGACCATAATACACTGAAATGACATTAAACTAAGACAATATAATGGTCATTATATACAGATAAAATTCTCACATTTGTCTTGACAGTTTTTCTTTTTTTTTTTTTCTCATAACACTCTGTTTGGAATGTGCCTTTGAAAAACCTCTGTTTAGGGGGCCTTGTGGCCCTAACACTTCACCCTACCCCTCTATCTCAACAAAAATCGGGACACCCTACCCCCTGGGCATGAATGTGCAAAACGGAGGGTTAAGGGCTAAGTGGAATGGTGAAATGGGATTGGGCCTTACAATGTAGCAATGTAGTCTTGCCCAAGGAGTCATATTGGTATAGCAACAATTTTCTTGCATAGACCTCTCTTTGCTTATGCACAAACATGTCCTTTGTAGCTACTGGCCAGGTTGGACAAGCTATAGAGAATGTGCAACACAGTTTTGCAAGACCGTAGGTTTCCATTACTCACATTAGCTACATTAGCCTTGTAGCTGTGCAATAAAGCGATACAGAATGTGCAACATAGTTTGTTCCCACCTTAACAACTCTACGCTCCCACCCCAGAGTTTCTCATGATTGTCACATATGGTATTATTATAAGTAAGTTAGTATTTATTTCTAAAGCACATTTTAACCCAAAGTGCTGTACAAGGAGAACACATTTAAAAGGATAAAAAAGAACAACAAAAATGCAGAAATGCTCAGTTTACAGACACAAAAGCTGATCAATAAAAATAGGTTTTTAATCTAGACTTAAAAGCAGCAATAGAGGGTACAGACCTAATGTCCAGGAGTAGACTGTTCCACAGAGACTGCGGCCCTGCAAGACTACAGATTTCCATTACTTGTTAGCTATATTAGCCTTGTAGCTGTGCAAAACTAAAGAAGAAGCATGTCCTTTGTAGCTACTATGCAACACAGTTTTTGTCAAAATACCTACTTAGTTTCAAACAGCTATAACAACACAGTTCATACCTCTCAAGTCTCCCGCAGTGGCAATAACACTCACACACTGGGGGATGGTCTGATAGTCTCACGCCAAACCTTTCAAATTTCATGCATTACAGAAAGCAAACTACATGAGGGATGTCTTGCAGTCATATGCTGGTACTACATCAATGTGTTGTTCAAGCAAAAGAATTTTCTCACCTTTTCCCGCCAATTGAGGAACTTTCCCTCTTTGTACAAAACTAAAGAAGCAAACGTCAGATGGCAAACATGTCTTGGCAACATTTGGGGTGAGGAGGAATGTTACATAGCACCTCTTAACTAACATTAGCCGTGCTGTGTGAATAATTTAAGAATTTGGACAAAAACTATACTGTGTGCTACAATTACTCAATATGTTAATAAGGATTGTTGCCAACATTCTGTTTTCCAACTTTGCAACAGTAACTAAGCAAAATGCATTTGTGAGTGGAGCATTGGTCAGTCAAGGTCACTTTTCAGCCATCCTAGCTTACATTGCTTCCATGATCTAACAACAGGCTTGTTGTATGTCTGACAATATGGACAAGCGCACTATCGCCCCCTACTTTGAGCTCTGCCTTCAAGAACCATTGGATTGGTTTCAAAATTTCAGTTTGCTCCCACCTTAACTAATTTACATTCCCACCCATATTTATCCCAAAGTTTCTCATGAGTGTCCCATTACGAGATCATATCTGGCCCTGCAAGACTATAGGTCTCCATTGCTTGTTAGCTACATTAGCCTACATTAGTAGCTATGCAAAACTAAAGAAGCAAACGTCAAATGCCAAACATGTCTTGGCTGATTGATTATATGTAGGGTGATGGGGGACTTTGTTGTTATTGTTGTTATATCGTTGTTATTATTTTTGGCCATCTTTCTGACTGGTCAGTGGTCACCAGCCCTGCTCCTGGAGATATACCTTTCTGCAGACTTTAGCTCCAACCATAGTCAACCTCGCCTGGTCCATTATTGACTTCAGAGGTCTTTGCTTAGCTGAATGAGGTTAGCTTTCAGGTGTTAGGCGGGTGGGAGTTGGAAGGAACACAGCTGAGGGTTGGTAACCACTGCTTTAGGTATTAAATAGTATTTTTTGTTTTGTATTTTATCACACTGGATCTGTTTTAATGAAGCTTCTCAGAGTAGTAATGCTGATCTAGGGTCTGTTCCATTTAGTAAAGTCAAAGCAGATAAGAGAAATCTGATCCTAGATCAGGAGTCCTACTTTGAGAAGCTTCAAGAATACAAGCCCTGATTCATTGGCTTAATAATGAGTTGTCTCATTGAAGTGTAATACATTTTACGTTTATGAAATCAGCCTTTTTTACTACAATTAGATCATAATGAGACCTCAGTCTTCATATGTATTGGCTGGTTGACCAAATCACTTTTCGCATTTGACATGGCATGGGCGTAAACCAGAGCGGCACAGCTGGAATTAATGTTTTACAGGTTGCGTGTTTACGTAATAGTTAGCGTTGACTTTTGATGTGATTTGTATAATGCATTTTTAATAGTAATATCGTTCAAGCAGTATGACCTATTAACATTTCATGCTAATCATTTTGGGTCCAGGCTTTTTGTAATTTCTTTGAACTTGGCCCAACGTATTATCTATTGCAGAGTATGACAGCCTCTTTCTGTTACCAGCTGTACTCAGAGTTTCTTCTTTATTTCTTTCTTTTTCACAGCCGTTCCAGGGCGATAATTACTGTGATGCCATGAACAATAGAGCCTATTGCAACTACGATGGAGGAGACTGCTGCCATTCCACTGTCAAGACTAAGAAGGTATGGTTTACTTCTGTGACATTAACCTACTCATTTTATCTCTTGCGTACAGTGAACATGTACTGACGTTGAATTTAGATGATTCAAATGTATACATCATTTCCACATGCATAAGACACATTACGTCAACACAGTCATTGCCAAAAGTAAGTCAAAGGCAAAATTGTGTTGACATAATATATTTAACTCATGTGGAAATGATGTACACATTTGCACATCAACTAAACTCAACGCTTCAGCGCAGAGTATGATTCACTGAAACCTTTAAAGCAACAACCCAGACGTGTTTAGTTCTCATAAGAGATGCAAACCATTAGCAGTAGCCCAAGTGTCTAATAACAAGACATTATCCAGTTCCCCCTGACTCCTTCCATTCCCTTGCTGGGGCGGCAGACAATTCTGGTCAAATTCAAACAAATGTTGGAAGGAGGCCCTTGTTAGGGCTGAAAAGGGCAGATAAATGAAGTCATAAATGCGGGGCGAAGCCACAGACCCTTGCTTTTCCTCGGTTGCGTCATCTTGGCCGTCCCACCTCATGCCCTCTCCAGAAGACTGCTGTTTGTTGGGCAATTACTGGAGCCCTCCAGGGGGATAGCAGGCTTTTTCATAAGAGACTGATGCATGAGGAAGTCTTTTTGTGAACCCTGCTGTGGCTGATGGCCTTTAAAACCTACAGGAAGAATGGGCCTTCGTCTGGATAAGCTGCCACTTTTAACTACCTCCCACTTCCAGATGGAGGGCTGGGACTTCTCGCTTTAGACAGGGATTTTTCTCAGATTTCAGGAATCTGATCACCAAACTAGGTTCTCATTGTCAGTAAGGGTGATGCTACCATGTATGCCATACTATGCATGTTGAAATAGGTAACTCATTGAAGAGTAACAATTAGTTTAGGGTCACCCTGTTATTGAAGGGTTTGACCACTGACTTCAGTCGGTAGGTCAATAAAAAGAACTGCATTGCTAAACCAAACCCAAGTTTATATTTACACATTAGGCAGATACACCTATCCAGTGCGACTTGCATCATAGCAATGTAGTCTTGCCCAAGGATACCTAATTATAGTGGTGAAATAGGTTGGACAAACTTTATAGAATGAAATGTACAACATAGATTTTGTCACAATACCTGCTTGCTCAATGTTATCTAGTGCCTCTGAACAAACATAGCAGTGCAGAGTGAATAATTTGAGTATACTGACAAAAACTGAGCTACCATTTCTTAGCTTGGATAGGATTTTGTGAGCACTTTGTATGTCCAGCCCTGCAAGAACACATTTTTGGGCGAAGCATGGGTATGTCAAGTAAATTGGTGTTATTCATTACGCTATAACAGTGTGATGTATGTGAGATTCTATCAATATGCCCAGGTGTCTGGTCACCCCCTCTCTTTTTGCTGCCATCATTCCTCCCACCATCATTGCTCTTCCTCAGTGCTAGGGTAGGTGGTCATCCTCAACCATGGCCTCTCATTAAGAGCTCTTTAAAGACCACAGAGGCTTTACAATTGCTGCTGACACACTCTTTGCTCCCTCAGGCCATCCACCAACCCCTCCCACCCTTGACACTCTCTTTCGCCTTCTTCCTTACCTCATGTGAGTTTTGAAATGGTTGGCAGCGGCTAAGCCTGTGAAGACACGGACTGCGATGATTCATTAAACCCAGGCCTATTAAAGGATGCTTTTTGGAGGGGTAGCATTGTCCAGCCTACGTCATCGAGCAGACACAGATCTCAGCGAGAGTCGAGCGCATGCCAGACGAGCTAGCCAGTGTTGACGGAAGGTTAAATTGCTCTGCAACTATTAGCCAGGCTTCTGGTGCCCCCTCCCCCCTTTCTCAACCCTGCGTCATGTAGTTATCATAGGAAGGCCTGGGAGCCATTCTTTAATGAAATGAAAGCATTTCCTTGTTTTTGTGTTAGAAACAGAGCTCTGATATGATTCTGTGGTTTTCTAACCCATAAACAGATAAATATATTTTTAAACTTGCAGTAACATTGTAATTATATAATAATTACATGTAACAATGACATTTAGGTGTGTTTTAATGTCAGGACAAAAAATGGGAAAAATGTATACAGTTTCTTTTCTTTCTACAAAACAAGAAAACAAAACAAGAAAACAACAACTTTTCAGCAAATTAAAGTCATTATGAAACATCTCTTCTTACAAACGAAAATGTGGTGCAGGATGAAAGTTTAGAAACTTCACCTTCAACAGAATTGAATGAAAACTCTTCTATGTTTGGTAAATCATTTCAGATTACGATTTTAGTTTGTTTATGTTTCTCTTTTGTCAGACATTTGCCTCGAAACTTCTCAAAAGTCATAGCCTCCTTTTTAAAAGGGGGGACAATTGAATCCTAACTCCAAGCTTTGTGGAAAAACTCACTTCCTCTGAGTCCAGTGCCAAGCCAGGACTTTCTCCGACATCAAAGGGCTAATGCCCACACTCCTGTAGTAATGCCTCAGACCAAGTTTGTTGTGGAAAACAGACCTTAAGTCTCCAGGATTTTCCTCAGGTTAGAAAAGTAACATGAGCCGATAGTGGGAGGGCTGAGCTGCCACCTCTCTGGAGTCTGCATCTGATCTTCAGAAAAGCTGCCTCCCGGAGCCGCAATGATAAGCGGATCACCTGGCATCCTGGTCCAAAGCCCCGTTCGGCAGCCAGGCATCCAATCCTGGCAGGCCTTGAAGCGAATATTTCAGTCGGGTTTTTGAAAGAAAAAAAATCCTGTCCCTCCTAATAGCCGGGATTTGGGGAAAAGATACAGAAAATTGCTCAGAAAGAACCAATCATAAATCGATTGATGGACTGCCAGAGTGGAATGTCAACAGAGGTTACCCGCACAGATGAAGGAGAAGGGATGAAGGAGGACGGACGGACAGCATATGAGCAGACTGAGGGAGAGACTATAAAGGCCTTCTCTCTGATTGGAGTAATTACTGTCCTTGGCTATTGCCGAATCGATCAAAAAAGGGCTATTATTTTGTTCTCATTGTGTTCTGCATTTGCACAGCTTTATCTCAGCTCTATGAATTTCCCCACTTCATTCATACATTACTCAGTGGAAGCATATGAACATGTTTCCCTTCAGACCAACGAAGGCCATGCATTAGTGCAAAGATAAGGGCCAGTCTGACTTGCTATGATCTATTGACTTTGAATTGCACTTAACCTCTCCTCGCCATTCCTTAAGTGTTTTGCTGAGATAGGCGGGCCAGATACTATATGACTATTTGTTATTCTTTGCCGTTTGCACTCACGGCCACCGCGCCGAAAGAGGCTTTATTTGAAACAGCAGGGAACGCGCCACCTGATCTTGATTCGACTGGAGAACAGATGCTTCATGTGTGCCGCAAAACAAAAAAATTAGCGAAACTGTTGATGACAAACATTGTCTCTTTGACCCTGTACCATCTGATGGCTGTTGGGAAGCGAAATATTTGATCTCAAATGGTTTCCATATGTGTTTGATCATAATCATTTACTTGTGCAGGAAAAAAAGGCAGTGCAGATAGACTACACAGGACATTATGGTATTGAGTAATAATGAAGTGGGAACTCGGTGCTCCAATGCAGTTACTAACTGGCTGAAAAAATGCCTGTTATTTTAGACTGCTTTCCATCAGGAGAGCATTTATAGGAATGTAATCATCTCTAGCGGTATGGAATGCTACTAAAATGGAAGACTCTCACAGGAAAAGTCAGCAACAATGATGTCTTTGTGCCTTTAGCAAGCGTCCAAAGGATCAACAGCTAACTTTAATGACCTTCTCCCCCAATTGCATGTTAGATAACAACTGTTGAATGGCAAAAGTCCCATCAGATTTAGCTGTTTTGTCGAGGAATACAGCTAAAAGTAGCCTTTATAGAGCTTTATATAGCCTTTCTAAAGCTTTTATTTGTCTCTCACTGTCACAGAATAGCTTGACTTTATTGATATTTCTCAAAGCAACATGTCATCACATGTCATCACTGCCAGTTTTTACCTTTTTTTTACATATTTGGAAAACTCATCACTCTTTGCATTGTGTTAAAATTTCACTAAGAATGGATTAATAGAAATGGCTCAAAATTACTTTGCAAAAAACCATATTACATTAACTTTCTGTACAAGTTAAAAACGTTTTTTCTCTCTTCTGTAAAGTCATCATTTTAGAGATTTTGTTCCAACGGTGATGATATGTTGGTATCTAAAGCAATGGATAATATGATGGGGACATTATTGTTGGCTAATCCCTTAGACTAACTTCAGCCATGCTACAGTGGTTAATGTTTAGACTGTGGTGTTAACTTAGCCAGCTAGCAACAACAAAGCAGTTGAATCCAGGAAACTTCCTGTTTAGATTGGGTCTAGTTTTCTGGGCTTGTACTGGATTTTAGATGTATTATTGGGAGTCTTGCCAAAGAACTGGTGTGGTGTTTGTGCCTGGGTGGGAATTAAGCCCTATCATATGTAAGGTGGCGGTGTTACCCACTACACTATACAAACCACTGCCACTATCATGCAATGCTACCAAACTGTGAGGGTGAAGACTAAAATGAGCCTCTTTCAAGACACATAAAGTGTGACCACATCTTTTCAAATTGCTGCTAATACATCATCATTGGACAGCTCAACACACTTGGAGGAGAATGCTAACCCCTTAAAATCTCAGTCTTATTTCATACTAAGGCCTATTATTCAGTAACTACAGGGACTTCAGTACAAACTGGTTGAGCTATTTGTAGGTTATAGAAGAGTGTAATAAAACTTTGGGCCTGCTGGTGAACCTTGGCATTTTAAGGGGCTCACTGCCAATTTGGTTACATCAGCTAACAGATTGTTTGTGCTGAATTTTGTGGGAGAGAATGGACCATCCTACTCACCCAAACAGATAGCAAGCACAGTAATGTTCTCTTGGACTCCCAGCCATGAATGGCAGTGGCATTGCAGGGGATTGAATTCAGTCTCTTGATGATATGGCCACTGCTAATCAAGTTGTGCCACTCAAAAGCC